AGTAACACACACACACAGTAACACACACACACAGTAACACACACACAGTAACACACACAGTAACACACACACAGTAACACACACACACAGTAACACACACACAGTAACACACACACACACACAGTAACACACACACACACAGTAACACACACACAGTAACACACACACACACAGTAACACACACACACAGTAACACACACACAGTAACACACACACAGTAACACACACACACAGTAACACACACACACACACACACACAGTAACACACACACAGTAACACACACACACAGTAACACACACACACACAGTAACACACACACACAGTAACACACACACACACAGTAACACACACACACACAGTAACACACACAGTAACACACACAGTAACACACACACAGTAACACACACACACAGTAACACACACACACAGTAACACACACACTAACACACACACACACAGTAACACACACACACAGTAACACACACACACAGTAACACACACACAGTAACACACACACAGTAACACACACACACACAGTAACACACACACACACAGTAACACACACACAGTAACACACACACAGTAACACACACACAGTAACACACACACACACAGTAACACACACACACACAGTAACACACACACAGTAACACACACAGTAACACACACACAGTAACACACACACACACAGTAACACACACAGTAACACACACACACAGTAACACACACAGTAACACACACACAGTAACACACACACACAGTAACACACACACAGTAACACACACACAGTAACACACACACAGTAACACACACACACACAGTAACATACACACACACAGTAACACACACACACACAGTAACACACACACACAGTAACACACACAGTAACACACACACACAGTAACACACACAGTAACACACACACACAACACAGTACACACACACACACAGTAACACACACACAGTAACACACACACACACAGTAACACACACACACACAGTAACACACACAACACACAGTAACACACACACACACAGTAACACACACACACAGTAACACACACAGTAACACACACAGTAACACACACACACACACACAGTAAACACACACACACACACAGTAACACACACAGTAACACACACACACAGTAACACACACACACAGTAACACACACACACAGTAACACACACACACACAGTAACACACACACACACAGTAACACACACAGTAACACACACACAGTAACACACACACAGTAACACACACAGTAACACACACACACAGTACACACACACAGTAACACACACACACACAGTAACACACACACACAGTAACACACACACACAGTAACACACACACAGTAACACACACACAGTAACACACACACACAGTAACACACACACACAGTAACACACACAGTAACACACACACAGTAACACACACACACAGTAACACACACACACACAGTAACACACACACAGTAACACACACACAGTAACACACTTCCTCCGGGCACAGAGGGAGTGGATGGATGATAAACATGGAGGTTTCCCTTTTATCAGCTGTGTGTGTGTTTGCGTGTGTGTTACTGTGTGTGTGTGTGTGTTACTGTGTGTGTTACTATGTGTGTTACTGTGTGTGTTACTGTGTGTGTTACTGTGTGTGTGTTACTGTGTGTGTGTGTTACTGTGTGTGTTACTATGTGTGTGTGTTACTGTGTGTGTGTTACTGTGTGTGTGTGTTACTGTGTGTGTTACTATGTGTGTTACTGTGTGTGTTACTATGTGTGTTACTGTGTGTGTGTTACTGTGTGTGTGTTACTGTGTGTGTGTTACTGTGTGTGTTACTATGTGTGTTACTGTGTGTTACTGTGTGTGTGTGTTACTGTGTGTGTTACTATGTGTGTTAGTGTGTGTGTGTGTGTTACTGTGTGTGTTACTATGTGTGTGTTACTGTGTGTGTGTGTGTTACTGTGTGTGTGTGTGTTACTGTGTGTGTGTGTTACTGTGTGTGTGTGTGTTACTGTGTGTGTGTGTTACTGTGTGTGTTACTATGTGTGTGTGTTACTGTGTGTGTGTTACTGTGTGTGTGTGTGTTACTGTGTGTGTTACTATGTGTGTTACTGTGTGTGTTACTATGTGTGTTACTGTGTGTGTGTTACTGTGTGTGTGTTACTGTGTGTGTTACTATGTGTGTTACTGTGTGTGTTACTGTGTGTGTGTGTGTTACTGTGTGTGTTACTATGTGTGTTAGTGTGTGTGTGTGTGTTACTGTGTGTGTTACTATGTGTGTTACTGTGTGTGTGTGTGTGTTACTGTGTGTGTGTGTTACTGTGTGTGTTACTATGTGTGTTACTGTGTGTGTTACTATGTGTGTTACTGTGTGTGTGTGTTACTGTGTGTGTTACTATGTGTGTTACTGTGTGTGTTACTATGTGTGTTACTGTGTGTGTTACTATGTGTGTTAGTGTGTGTGTGTGTGTTACTGTGTGTGTTACTATGTGTGTTACTGTGTGTGTTACTATGTGTGTTAGTGTGTGTGTGTTACTATGTGTGTTACTATGTGTGTTACTGTGTGTGTGTGTGTTACTGTGTGTGTTACTATGTGTGTTACTATGTGTGTTACTATGTGTGTTAGTGTGTGTGTGTGTGTTACTGTGTGTGTTACTATGTGTGTTAGTGTGTGTGTGTGTGTTACTATGTGTGTTACTATGTGTGTTACTGTGTGTGTGTGTGTTACTGTGTGTGTTTACTATGTGTGTTACTGTGTGTGTTACTATGTGTGTTAGTGTGTGTGTGTGTTACTGTGTGTGTGTTACTGTGTGTGTTACTATGTGTGTTAGTGTGTGTGTGTGTTACTGTGTGTGTGTGTTACTGTGTGTGTTACTATGTGTGTTAGTGTGTGTGTGTGTGTTACTGTGTGTGTTACTATGTGTGTTACTGTGTGTGTGTGTGTTACTGTGTGTGTTACTATGTGTGTTACTGTGTGTGTTACTGTGTGTGTTACTATGTGTGTTACTATGTGTGTTACTGTGTGTGTGTGTGTTACTGTGTGTGTTACTATGTGTGTTACTGTGTGTGTTACTATGTGTGTTAGTGTGTGTGTGTGTGTTACTATGTGTGTTACTATGTGTGTTACTGTGTGTGTGTGTGTTACTGTGTGTGTTACTATGTGTGTTAGTGTGTGTGTGTGTGTGTGTATTTACCTCCCTTGCATTATTTTGTGTGAACTGAATCACTTTCACATTTTCTGGAGCTAAAATCTGAAAAGTGTGGCGTGTTTCTTGACTCGGCTGCTTTGCATTTCATTTTGGATTGTCGGTCTGCAGCGGATTTGGAGGAGCTGCAGAGATGCAGCGCTCAGAGGAGACACCAGACATGGTGCTGGCAGCATCATGCTGGGTCAGATTTAAGGTTACAATGACCTAGTCAAAGCCCAGACCTCAGCTGCTCTCCATCCAGCAGACCTGCAGCCCGAGGAGAAAACACTCCACAAAAACCTTTACCTTCCAGGTCAAAGGTCAAAGCTCAGCAGCTGAGGAAGCAGGCAGGAGGATTGGACTAGACCTCCAGGAGGTTCTGGTTCTGATTGAAACCCGACCCAGCTGCTCCGCCCCCTGCGGCGTCGCCACGGTGATGGCAGCCCTGGGCGCGCCGCGGAGCCAGGCGAGGAACTTTGATCTGAGGTGAAAGGTCACAGACAGACACGCCCTCAGTGCAGAACACTATCAGAACCAGAACCGGGTCAGCACCTGCAGCTGGTTCTGATCCGGATCTCAGTGAAACACCAGGACGGTTCTGACGGAGGGCTGGTTCTGACGGACCCACAGAGACAAACATGGCTGCTGGACGGTTGCTAATGGCAACAGAACCTCCCACTCTACCGAACCAGAACCAGAACCAACAGACACCTGCAAAGGTTCTGGTCCGACCCGGTCCGGTCCAAACCCGGTGTGAAGCAGCAACAATCCTGAGGAGAACCAGAAACTGGACCTGCAGGTGTGGCTGACCCGGACCAGACAGAACCAGAACCTCAGATAAGACGGGTCTGATGAGAACCGGATCAGAACCAGAAACCAGACAGATGTAATCTGTGGGATTAACCGGGCCTCGGGGGTTCTGTCCGGATTACCCTGCAGAACCCTTAGCCCCGCCCCTTTTACTGTTGACATCAGCAGGGAGACCATCTGGACCTGATGAGGTCATGATGGTCCACAACCAGAACCAGAACCAGAACAGCCTTTGGGTCGGTTCTGGTAATTCCTGAAATAATGTTCCGGTTCTGGTTCATCTCCGCTTCTTCAGAACCCGGCTGGTGGTCCACAGTGACCTCACAACCTATCATCAGCTGGACTGAGTCTGAGGTCATGATGATCCAGAACCAGAACCAGAACCCCAGCTCTTGGCTGAACCGGTCCTGGATCAGAGGTTCTGTTCCCTCCAGAGATTCAGCTCTGGTTCATTCAGAACTCCATTGGGAAACAGCCGAATTTAAACCGAACCGCAGACAGGTCCAGTTTGGTGGGGTTAACTCGGAACCTGTGAACTGATCAGAACTTCCCGAACCGTCCTTCTACATCCGGGTACCGCGGGAACGTCCACATGTCCACAGCTCCTCTGTTTGAGTCCCTTTGTTCTGTCTGCCACAGAACTTTCCTCCACAACAACAGTGTTTATACTAATCTGGACAATGTGCCAATATTAAGAGGTGAACTTTGACCTTCAGAACCCATCCGAACCCTGCTGACCGTCCTGCTGGGTTCGGCTCCCAGAGGAAGGTCCACATCGCCGCAAGTTCCCTGATTCCGCCTCTTCCTGTCTCCCGTCTGTCCCCTCAACCTGAGGCGCCTCCAGCAGGTGGACCGCGGCCGGAAAACCGCCGAAACTACAGCAGGTTCGGTTCCAGTGGACCGAACCGGACCCGGACAGAGCCGCTCTGCTGGGCCAGAACGGGTCAGAAGCTGGACGGGGTTCCGGTCGGCAGGTGAACTGGACTCACCTTGGTGAACAGCTCGTTCACAGACATTCTTCCTCCGAGACCCGCAATCCGTCTAGAAGTGACCTCTGACCCCCATCAGGGGTCCACCGAGTCCCTGTGATCCGGATCGGTTCTGGACCCGCTGCGGGGCGACCCGGTTCCGCTTCGGCCAGTACCAACAGGTGTCCCCCGGAGTTTCGCTCACTTTGGGTTCGGCTCAGGTACCGCCTCTCTCTCTCCGGGTCAGACGGTCCAACGCGGCCCAAACGAACCGGAACCAAGCCGGGAGTAGAACCAGGAGAGCCAGCAGGTGTTGGACCGAATCCGTCCGGACCGGTTCTTCCTGAGCGCCGTGTTTTCCGCCAGGAGCCTTCTGATTGGCTGCTTCCTGGATCCAGCCAGGTTTCTACTGAAGGCACGCGCAACTGTGGAAGCACTCGCGGGCACGCGCAGAGACATGGAGCCGTGGTTCAAACGGAGGCTCGGGGACCCGCAGGGGTCGCGGGATCAGTCTGAGGGGTCAGAGGTTAAAAAACACAGCTGGAGGGTTTTTTTACATTTGAACTAATAGTCCTGATGGGCTGAAATAAATGCTTTAATATTAAACTATAATGGTTTAAAAAATAATAAACTAAACATGAGTTTAATAATAAACTCATGAATCTAAAATTATAAGCTAATTTCCCGTGGGGGTGGGGTCCTCTCAGTGGGTTGTCCTCTCAGTGGGGGTCCTCTCAGGGGTGTCCTCTCAGTGGGGGTGGGGTCCTCTCAGTGGGGTGTCCTCTCAGTGGGTGTCCTCTCAGTGGGTGTCCTCTCAGTGGGGTGTCCTCTCAGTGGGGGTGGGGTCCTCTCAGTGGGGTGTCCTCTCAGTGGGTGTCCTCTCAGTGGGTGTCCTCTCAGTGGGGGTGGGGTCCTCTCAGTGGGGTGTCCTCTCAGTGGGTGTCCTCTCAGTGGGGTGTCCTCTCAGTGGGTTGTCCTCTCAGTGGGGGTCCTCTCAGTGGGGTGTCCTCTCAGTGGGTTGTCCTCTCAGTGGGGGTGGGGTCCTCTCAGTGGTGTCCTCTCAGTGGGTGTCCCTCTCAGTGGGTGTCCTCTCAGGGGTGTCCTCTCAGTGGGGGGTCCTCTCAGTGGGGTCCTCTCAGTGGGTTGTCCTCTCAGTGGGTTGTCCTCTCAGTGGGTGTCCTCTCAGTGGGTTGTCCTCTCAGTGGGTGTCCTCTCAGTGGGTGTCCTCTCAGTGGGGGTCCTCTCAGTGGGGTCCTCTCAGTGGGTTGTCCTCTCAGTGGGGGTGGGGTCTCTCAGTGGGGTCCTCTCAGTGGGTTGTCCTCTCAGTGGGTGTCCTCTCAGTGGGTGTCCTCTCAGTGGGTGTCCTCTCAGTGGGGTCCTCTCAGTGGGTTGTCCTCTCAGTGGGGGTGGGGTCCTCTCAGTGGGTTGTCCTCTCAGTGGGTTGTCCTCTCAGTGGGTGTCCTCTCAGTGGGGTCCTCTCAGTGGGTGTCCTCTCAGTGGGGTCCTGCCAGAGTCTCTGATGTCTCCAGTCGTCTCCAACAGGAAGTTGTCATGATCTCGTGTGTCTGATCTGCTGTGGTTCCTGCGTCTGTTTGTGGTTGAATGAACAGCGAGAGGTGAAGAGCAGGAATGTGGAGGATCCGGCCTTCATTTTGCTCATTGTGATTATTGCTGGGTGATGAATATCAGGGAATCCTGGACGTTTCGCTCAGTTTGTCCTGAAGAGCAACGTCTGCCTGGTTCCACCCAGACGACGGCGCGGCTCATACGGAGGGCCAAGAGGGACAAAACTAAGTTAGCAAGTGGTGAGAATGGCTGCAATTATTAATACTCTTAATTTCAGGGTCTATAATAAATCACATTTTAATCAAAAACTGCAACAAAATAAGCAACATTTTCAATTCAAAAATCATTTTTGCAACTAAATTATTGAATAAAAACTCATCTAAACATCAGAGATGCTTCTAGTTTTTAATCTTCAGAGTTTCTCTGATCATTCATGGAGCTTCGTTAGAAATGTGAACTGTGCATGCTGACATTAGCTGCTACAGTGTAGCATTGAGGTGCTAGTTAGCCTTTGCTGAAGAGCTAACTCCTTTTAGCACAGGGGTCTCAAACTCCCAGTGGGGGGCCACTGGGAGTCTCAATAAGGTTCTGGAGAACCGAGCCACACCAGGAGGTCATGAAGCCGTTTCATTCCAGCTGTGGCTCATGAAACACTGCAGGGGGTCTGGAGTTGGAGGATCTGAGGACCATAATAATGTTCAAGTTGTGAACATTATATGGCATCATGTCAGATTGTTCAGACTCCAGCATTTAATCTGATCTGAGGTTAAATGAATGTTTTCAGCCAAACTTGTGATCAGAACCGACCAGAACCTGAAACATTCTGACCTGCAGGTTAAACTCTGGATTCTAACCTCTGACCTCAGTTCAGTGTGAGATTCCTGCCACTGATTTGAATTCCTCCAATCACAGAAGGAGAAGAACCATGAAGAAGTGAAGGGTTAGAAGGAAGTGATGATGCTAATAATAATAATAATGATATTAATAATAATAACAATAAACATAATAATGTCTGACCAGGCTAATGTTTGTTTACAGTGTAGCCTCTTAGCTAGCTCTGTTGTTAGCATCACAGTCAGATGATCAAATCCAGTCATTTCAACAAACTATTTTCTGCTGCCGGTGTGATGATGGTCAGTGAACTTTGACCCCCCCAGCTGTCAGAGGATCCTTACCTTACAGTAGGGGTTATAAATCAGAGGCCATCCTGCCGGGTTCAGAACCAGACGTGTCTGAGCTGCAGCTATTATCCCAACCGGTCCGGTCCGGTCCACTCCCAGACACACCTGCTGCAGGTATGAGCCGCTCACCTGGAGGCTCCGCCCACTTCCCACACAATCACAGCGCAGCTAGAGATCAGACACTGTTGGGGGGCACCCTGCTGACAGGCGCCCCTAAATAAAACCCTGTCCGGGTTCTGGTTCTGATCCGGGTTCAGGTCCAGACATGAAGCGTTTACTGTAAAGGGAAAGCAGAGATGGAATCAGGACTGACTAATGTGAATTGGATCAGAACCAGTTCATATCCCGTCAGAAACAGTTACAGGATAGGTCCCACAGTGAAGCATGGCGGTGGCAGCATCATGCTGATCCTATTCATTAATGGAAGCTGTCGGCAGCTGAACTTCTGGACCAGAACCAGAACCAGACATCGGTACAGACATCTGACCCAGTCTGGAGGACCTGACCCGGTTCTGGAGGATCTGACCCGGTTCTGGAGGATCTGACCCGGTTCTGGAGGCTCGTCTCTGAGTGGAACTGGACAGGTGGGTCCCGTAGGGTTCTGGAAGGACAAACTGGGCCGTTAAAACATTTATTCAGTGTCAGAAAAAGATTCATTTTGAATGAATCAGTTCATTAAATGATTCAGTTCATTAAATGAATCATTCATCAGCCTGG